GCTTAGACATTTTATTGATTCTACAACAGAATGGCAGTACAGTCATGCATGCACATGACATTTCGGACAAATCCCTGATGCTGATATGTGCTAAAGAGCAAGTACACTCTCTCATAGGCCAGTTTAGAGCACTGCACCAGCATGTCCACTAACCCAATAATGCTATTCTGATGTCTCATGATCGCTATAGCACAGATTTAAAGACAGAGCTAAGCAGTGATGAATTGCACCATTTATTCTGTGTAACATCAGAATCTATTCTCCAAGACATTGTTACACCACAGCAGTAATGATACATTAGGGAAATAAATGCCCATATTGATAGAAGGGCTGATTGATGAGATTTTATTGCCAGAGCTTCAAAAGTATGAAATGTATACAGATATTTAATGTTGTTAATAAGATAATGACACTGTGGTTGAAAGAAATTGGAAGACACTCTCCACTATCTTAGAACCTCACAATAAATTTTATGAAAAGTACTAGAAGGAAAACAACTATTATGTTTTAAATAGCTAATGTTTTATTTCTCTCTCTGTGTCTCTGTCTCTGTCTTCACACATACGAGAAAAGATTTACTTAAGATTTACTATTTCTTTGATCAACTGGACTGGGGAGAAATGTTCATATATTGAAATGTTCACTTTGTAAACTAAATAATGTGATTGAATATATAAAAAAATTTTTAAAGTTTAAAATAAAATAAAATAAAATAATAAAAAAATATTTTACTATTTCTTTATGGTGACTTCTTAATGAATTCACTTTAAAATCTCAAAGCTACTTCACCGTTTCATTGTTATTAAGCAGATTTTGGAGGGAGACAAGGATAGGTATGAAGGACCACAGAGTAAAATGTAAAAAGGAAAAAGGATACAATATTCATCCACGACAAGAAAAGCAACTGCCTCTCGAATGTTTGGCAAGACTGGTCTAAGAGTTGAGTACACTTGTACTACAGAAATAAGCAGATGGGGAAGAAATTTCAAAATGCTATTTCAATGGAAATGTATTTATATTCTACTATGTGTCAGACATTGTGTTTTGTTCCAAAAGGAGTGTGCAAGAATGCAGAAGACATATTTTGCTTCCTGCCTTCAAGGCACTCCCAGTCAAATGGAGAAGTGACACTAATAAGAAAATAATTATAATATAAATGTATAATAAAGATAATGAAATAAATCCTTTCAACCCCTTTCTTCAATATCCTCCAATTGCACTTTCTTTTTGTCGACCCACAATCTACCTAAGATCCCTGTAAGTCTAGTAAATAAAGATTTGCATGGTCAATTTAGCTCCATGTGGTACTTGATTTATCTACCTGCACAGCTGCCAGGCAATACCAGCTTTAAAGTCCTATTCAACACTGAAAATGTTGCTTAAATGCAAAAAGCGACTTTTAAAAAAGTAATAGCTAGGTGATCCAAACTAATACAAGAATGCTGTAAAGAAATGCAGCCAAGTATTGACTTATAGTGAGAGTTTATGAAGCTAGACAGGTAATAGTAAAAGCAACAATTTTTAAAAGGCATGACTTTCAAATTTGGTTGTTTTGATTCTCTAATTACAGCTGGATATATGAACTGATAGGTTTAAAGTTTATTTGAATAAATGCAATATACATATACATACACACATTTATACATGTATATGTACATATACAAATATATATATATGCATATTTATTTTTTTTCTAACACCTCTCCAGTGTCATGTGGATTCTTAACCTTATCTGTCTTATTTTTTTTTTTAAGGTTTTTACCTTAAGGTGCATGTGCTCATCAGAGAGAGTGAGACAGACAGTGAGAGGGACTCCCCAGGGGGGATGGCCATGCTGCAATCCTTTCTCCTCCATTCTCCTCCTGATATCTTGGGTATGTGCGCACATGCACCTGGTGTGAGTTTTAAGCCACTGAGTCTGGAATTTGAACTATGGTCAACTACGTGGGAGTCCAGCGATGTAACCTCTACACCATCTTCTGGTCTCTATCTTTCTAATCTTAATAGAGACAAAACTCAGTATTCAAGGACTAAGGATCTAGCACCTGGTGCTTAATTTTAATAGCATTTTGGCATTTCCTGGTGGTACTAAAACATTGAATGTTAAATCCATGTAATCACTCATGTACCAGCAAATACTGTCATGAAGAGAATGACAACTGCAAGAACAGTATCTCAAAACAAAGAGCCCATAAGTAAAATCCCCAAATCATCTGACACCCTTCACTGATCACATTAGATACTCCAAGGCGAGTTTGAAACCAAGATGATATGCCCTAGTTCTCCAAAGGCCCAGGATCAAACTGTACTGCCATTCTGTTGTAGAATCAATAAAATGTCTAAGCTTTGATTTACCCATTAAAATCACACTATTACTGAAGTTATTTGTCATAGAAAGGGAAGAAAGATGATGATGATAACTAACGTTCTTGATTGCTTACTGAATTCCAGGTGCTGTCTGAAGAATTAAATTTTTAAGTACTGGACACTAGAGTATGGCAAGCTTCACACTGAAATCAATATGCTAGGTCTAAAAACAAGCACTCATTTAAATGAAAACTACTTAAGCAATATGAATGAAGTATTGAACACAGATCTTTAACTTGAGCAAGGTGGAGCAAAGGTCCAAATAATATGATCCTAAATGTAGGAAGAAAATATATTCCCTATAAAACCATTTATAATAAATGCAAAACTGAGGCCAGCTGGTGGTGTGGTACTTAAAGCAGCTGAATTGACATGGAAGACTACTCAGTTCAGAGGGCCGAATGTGTATGTGTGTATACCCAAAATCCTGAGAGGAGAATGGAAAAGGGATTGTGTCATGGCCATCTCTCCTGGGGGTACTTTCTCCCTTACTTTCTCTCTTTCTCTTTCTCTGTTTCTCCGTTTCTCTCAGATGAGCATATATGATCTATAGTAAATCTTTAATAATAACAATAATAATAATTTAAAAAGGAAAAAAATGAATAACTAGATATCCTTTTCCCCTATGTAAGCCAAATTGCTTTTTTGTCTTTTGCTTTTGGAAATAGAGAATTACTCCTTAAAAGAAATGTTAAATGATTAAATATATATGTACACATACATGCACAAATATTATAAAAGGATTTAACAATCAAAATTTTCTCCAATTCATAGGTTCCTTTTTTATTTTTATTTTTATTTTTTTTTGTCATAGGGTACATGAGCTTACCAGAGAGGGAGAAAATTGAGAAACCACTCTCCAAGGGGATAGCCAGGCCACAATCCCTTTTCCTCCTTTCTCCCCTTGGGACATCTTTTGGGCACACACACACACACACACACATGCACACACACTCAGAGTGTTTCCCAAGTCTCAGGGTCCAGGACTGAGATGGTAGTGTTGGCTACATGAGAACCAATGCCTTAACCAACAGTGATCTGTTGACTCAATAAGTAACATTCTTCATTGTTGCCTATTTTTTTAATTACTTATAAAGATAGTTCATATGTCTATAAATGATATAATTATTTATAGAGCAACTGTCATAAAGAAAGCTTTCTAAAAGCTTCATCAACTTAACTACCTCAACTTGGAATAAATAGTTAAATAGATTCATCACACAAATTATCTTAACATAGCATTGTAATAGCTCAAATTTAAAAAAGCATCATTTTATTATTTTTGATATATTAAGTCCAGAGGTGTATGCAAGTTAAAATTGAGAATAATGCCTTTAAGAATATATTCAATTTTGAAATACAAATATTTTATTGTATTTGTGTAATAAAAACCACAACATTCTATTAATAATTTTGGCTCTATGCAAAATTTCCTAAGCAATTAGAAGAAATAAAAGTAAAACAATCTTGCATAACAAAGAAAATGACTTACACAAGACAACATAGACTCACTAGGGAATTTGGTGTTCAGCCTGAAAACATTTTAATAGCTTTTCTAATTAAAACTTGCCATCATAAAAAAAATTAACCACTAAATTTAATTTCCTACTAAGTATACTGTTCTATATCATTTTTATTAAAAACATGTTTTATTAGATTTTTCCAACTAAATTAAATGGCGAATTGCTTTTATTGCTGGTTTATAAGCTTTAATAATTACATGAACTATCCTATTCAGACAAATTAGATGCCATTTTAGTCATGATCATAATTTACTAAAATTTTATTCACATACATTAATGAGCAGTAAAAGAATATTGCATATATGTTTGTGTGTGTGCTCTTAAATTCAATGTGTGCAACTGAGTTAGAAGTCAGACCCCGCCCGTAGGCAGGTAGGGAAAAGGCTTGAGAGAGAGAGAGAGAAAGAGAGAGAGAGAGATCACCGAGTTTTTTAATGAACCCATTATGTTTTCTTCTCTATAGTTTAGTTAAAATGCAACATATTCTTTATTTTTTTCTTACATTCCCACCTTGCCGATGTACTTAATTAGATCAAAACCAGTAACATTCCAGGGCACAAAGATAAAGAAATCTCCATCACTAACTAAAACATACAGCCATCTGGCCCCTTCCAGGGACTAATAGGAACTCCTGATTTCTGATGTCTTAGTTCTAAGACCTGGGCTGATAGCCCATTTCAAAGAAAAACAGGTATTTATTCCTCAGGATCCTATATAATGAAGCTTATTCGGCACATCTACAGCAACCTATCTGGGGCCCATTCCTTCCACTGCATTTAAAGATTTCCTCCTTCAATAAAACTCTGCTTGCTGGGGCTGGCAGAGGGCATAGTAGTTAAGGCACTGGACTCCCACTTGACCTACCTTGGTCTGAGTCTACTCCAGGCACATGTGTGTGTGTGCCCAAAACAATTAAGAAAAGGTAATACTTTTTTTGAGCTAATTCATACTCCCACTAATTTCTAGGATCTGAAATTCAAAAGCAGAAACTTAAGGGTGTTTGCCTGCAGCAAGATGACTGTGGTCTCAATGCCGAGGGTGCTGAGGCAGGCAGTGGCTATAGCTGCCATTTCCATTTCAAGGGTTCCTACCAGGTTGCTGAACACATTCATGTGGAGGCTGGCACAGGACCAAACTCGAGGCATACAACTCATAACAGTTGATGAAAAATTGGATATTACTACATTAACTGATGTTCCAGAAGAGCATGTCAAAACTAGAAAAGTAAGGATTTTTGTTCCTGCTTGCAATAATGTGCAGTCTGGAATAAATAACACAAAGAAATGGAAGCTGGAGTTTGATAACAGGGAGCGATGGGAAACTACTTTGATGGGTTGGATATCAACCACTGATCCCTTGTCTAACATGGTTCTAACCTTCATTACTAAAGAAGATACAGTCACCTTTGCAGAAAATAATGGTGTGAACTAGTTACTGCTGCTGTTGAAATCAGGTGGTATTTTCTAATCTGGTATCTACTTCCCAGGATGGAGCTATGATGCAAAGAGAGGAAGTTTCTGAATCCCAAGTCCAAGTCTTATGGTGCAAACCACTGTTGCAACAAAAGAACAAGAGTATCCACAAAATAGTGTGGGACCGACTATATCTCTGCGCTTGATGGTGAACAAAGTGAGCTGTACAGTATTGATAGTCCATGTATAATAAATCTCTTAATATCTTAATAAATTTGAACTTTACGCTAAAAATAAAAAGAACAAAAGAGAAGCAGAAGCTTCAGTGACAGCATTTCTACTTCGAATCCACTGAAATGGATGGCAGAACCAGAAGGACTCTTACGCACTGTGCGTATCTGAATGCAGGATGACTTTGTCTATTAAGTCTGAGTGTGCTTTTGGGAGTTCTGTACCCACAGACATTGCATAGTAAAGTTTCCTTCATAATAAGCTTATTATATTTTATAATACCTGCAGGGATTCTATATTTTTATGGGTAAGTCAAATATATAAAATCACCCCCAAGGGGGGATGGCCATGCTGCAATCCCTTCTCCTCCATTCTCTTCTCCAGACCTTGAGCACACATGCACACGTACCCGGCATGAGTTTAAGCCACCGTGTCTGGGACTCAAACTGCGATCGACTACATGGGAGTCCAGCAAAATAGCCATTAGGCCAACTGCTGTTCCCAAGTATGTCAAAATTAAATGGCTTATGGGAACCAGCAGTTAGCGTAATGGCTATGTCGCTGGACTCCCACGTAGTCAGTCGACCGTGGTTCACGTCCCGGACCCAGTGGCTTAAAACTCACGCCTGGCGTGTGTGCGTGCGTGCCCAAGATCCCGAGAGGAGAATGGAGGAGAAAGGATTGCGGCATGACCATCCCCCCTGGGGGGGCGATTTCTCGCTTTCTGTCTCTATGTCTCTCTCTGTCTGTCTGGCAAGCGCACGCGCCCTATAGTGAAAATCTCTCCAAATAAAAATTAAATGGCTTATTATTCACTTAGTGTTGAGGTAGATGATAAACAGCTTATTCTAGTTGCTTCCAAACCAAAATGAGGGTAAAATACTTCTTATGTAAAAAGTCAAGAGTTTCTACACATTTTTTCACCATTATGTGTTTATCAAGTTAACAAAGTAGTATGATGGCCAGCTCGTGGCATGGTGGTTAAGGTGGCTGAATCCCACATAGCCAACAGTGGTTCAAGTCCCAGATCCCACAGTTTGAATAATGCCAGGCACTTGTGCATGTGTGCCCTCAAATCCCTAGATGGTAAAGGAGAAAGGATTCTGTTATAGCCATCCCCCTGCCAGGGTGGGGCAGTGATGTCCAATTTCTCTGTCTCTCTCTGTGTTTGTGCACCCTTTAGCAAAAACAACAAAACAAAACAAAAAGAGAATAAAACATTATGAACCTAAAGTAAGTAAATGAAGCTGAATATTAAACATGAATCTTAACGAGTTCTCATTAATACAAAATCAATGAATAAATAGACATAAAAATCATAATATCCTACTTCAATCTCTTTACTATCTTAATCATCTAATGTTAAAGAAAACAGAGCATTTTCATTTAACTTAATTTTTTTTTGTATTGTTCAGTTTGCAGATACATGAAACTAGAGAGTCAACCCATTTTTAAAATAGGAGTTTGTCCTACAATTTCTCAAAAGGCTTAGGACACATCTGATTTGTGATTCCAGAAAGGTGTTTAACTACCCAGTTGAATAAAATAATGCTCTAGATGTACCAGCCATATGTACTATTCAAATTTAAATGAACACCAATTAAAGTTAAAATTAAAATATGTTGTCAGCCAAACCAGCCATATTTCAAGTACTCAGTAGCCACAATGTGGCCACTGACTACCATGTTAGACAGGGTAATTATAGGACATGTCCACCGTTATAGAAAGTCAATTAGGCAGTGCTTTCTAAACGTTCTGTACCCTATACTTCTAAACTAATTTTATCTCTTCAATCTCCAATGATGATGAAATCTAATGTGTGTGTGTGTGTGTGTGTGTGTGTGTGTATGGAAATTAAGAATTATACAGTAGAGTTAATTCAGATTACGTAGGAGAGTGCAATTGACAGGGAAGGAGAGAAGAAAAGGAAGAAGAGTCAGGTGCATGTGTTCATGTGAATGCCCCAAATACCAAGAGGAGAATGGAGAAGAGTTTCCAATGTGGCCATACCCTCTGGGAGGGTAATTTCTCACCTCCCTTTCTCCTTCTGTCTCTCTCTCTCTGGGAAGCACAAAAATCCTATAGCAGGGAACCAGCAGTTAGCATAATGGCTATGTCGCTGGACTCCCACGTAGTCAACCACGGTTTGCATCCCGGACCCGGTGGCTTAAAACTCACGCCGGGCGCGTGTGTGTGCGTGCCCAAGATCCCGAGAGGAGAATGGAGGAGAAGGGATGGTGGCGTGACCATCCCCCCTGGGGGGTGATTTCTCGCTTTCTGTCTCTCTGTCTCTCTCTGTCTGTCTGGCGAGCGCACGCGCCCTATAGCAAAAAAAATCTCTCAAAAAAAAATCCTATAGCAAAAACTAAAAGAAGAGAGAGAGAAAACACACACACACACACACGTACATACATTAGCCTGTGTACACAAAACAGAGGGGGGGAAACAAGAAAAGTATGTAAAACTTACATTATAAATTATAATTCTGGTGAAAAGTTTATATTTTAATCATTTAAATAATGAAGGACTTAAAACCTGCTCAATTGGAACAAATGAAAAAAATTAAAATCAGGAGAAAATCCATTCATTCATTAATATTGTATTTGCATCATAGGAGAGAAATTGCTTTTAAGTGAGAAAATTAATGTAGTTTTCTATAGTGATAAATCCTCTCAAGAATGTTAACATTAAGAAATAGATAATGGGAAATAGCCTAAACTCAGGAAAGATGTCAGGGCTTGGAAAAGTAAATATGGGGTGGGATCTTTCTGAGTACTGATGGTATTGAAAGAAACACCAGCTGTTGGCATGGTAGTTACTATGGCTAGATCCAAATGGCTGAAGATGTAGCTTGAGAAACACGCCAGATATGTGTGCATGCATGACCACAATCCTGAAAGGTGGAAGTAAAGGGATGGTGGTGTGAGCATTCCCCACAGAGGGTGCACTTTCACATCCATTTCTTTCCCTCTTGCTCCTCTCTCCAACAAGCATATGCATATCCTAGCCAAGAACATGATTAGATGTAAGCGACAGAAAGTAGAGTCAGTTAAGGACTGTATGCTAACATCTATAAAATTGATCATGGAGACCGAGTCCACAGAGTTGACTAAGAAACCCACAAAAAAAACCAAAAAGGAATGTTCTCCTTAAGTATTGGTATTGAAGATTAAGAGTTTACCAATGAATCAGACAACATGAAGCCTGCTGGTGATCTTCACTAGAACAGATGAAGTGACATACCAAAAATGAAAACATAACTGAAATGAGCCTTAAAAAAAGAGGTGAGGAAGTAAAAAATAATAAGATAAACTTTTTATGAATTTCACTGTAATGTGTGATACAGGGTGGTACAAAGAAATGAAACAATGAATGGAGGGGCACCAGGGGATCTGTTATGTCTTTAATATTTTGTCTTTGTCCTCTCCAAAATTCACATTGAAACTTGATTTCCAGTGTGAGAGTATTAAGAGATGTGACCTTTATGGAATGATAGAGTCATAAGGGCTTAGACTTAGAAACCTTTATATAAGACTTGACAGAGGACATGTCACTTCTGGCCCTTCCATCATGTGAGAAAACAGTATTCTTCCCCTCCAGAGGATATAGCAATAGAATGCTATTTTGGAATTGGACACTAGGTTCTCACCAGACAATGAAATTGCCAACACCTAAATTTTGGATTCCCAGATGTCAGAAATGTGAGACATAAATTTCTGCTTTGTTGTAAGTTACTCAGTCTCAGTATTTCATTACTCAGTTTCAGATATCTTAGAGCAGCACAAATGGACCATGATAGAATCAATGAATATTTTTTTTAAAGTGGGTATTTATTACATTTGTTTGCATGCTGATCCTAGTAATACAAGAGTGTGGTGAAAAACTCTTGATGTAAGAGGAAGAGAGATAATTCCAAACAAGAACTCAATGACAAGTATAAGAAAAAGGCATCTAACATTCAGGAGATGGGTTAGGCTCTGACTGAAGAAGGAACAAAATAGTCCTTACCCTTGAAGCATATATCAACATACAAGAAAGTGCTTTCCCCTAAGAGCAAGTAATTTAGAAGTTTTTCTACTACATGCTATTTAAATTAATATTGATTTATATATTAGGTATGCTCTAGCCAAAGGTCCACAACTGTCAACTCCAATCAAGAAAACAATACATTTTTAAAATGAGAGACATCCTCTCAATATCTACATTTTCCAAAATTATAGATTAAAAATGATGATGGTAAAATAAATAAAAAGCATAAACAAATCAATGAATACATGGATACATATTATGAAGTATATTTCAGTTATTCTATGATCCTTGTACCATAAAATTTCTATTAAAAAATCTGAGAAATGTTCCATGCATGGTTTAGAAGAAAAGATAATTTATAACTAAAATAGAAGAGTTTTATTCTTAAAATATTCACAGATAAATGTTTTTTCTACTACAATAACTATTTGATGGAAGTGTCAAGGAAAAAACCACCTTAAAGTTCTTCTCTTCTCAAAACTCATGCCTATGAGGTCATCAACATCTTTGAGACTCTCAAAGATGAAAAGTTCTCTTTTTTATGATTTTTTTGTATGCTTAGAAGTAGGCATTTCTTAAGCCTCTCCTATAGAAACAAAATACAATTAGCCACTGGAAATACAGCAATCTTTTGTGATCAGTTTTGAACATTAAGTGCTAGAGAGAACAAGTAAGATTTTTTTTTCCTTCCCCTAGTTGTAGTGTAGTTGCAAAACAACATGATCCAAAAGTATAAACTTGCTATTTCAGAAATAATAAATTAATTTTGAAAACTGACCAGTTTACTTGTACTTATAACACTTATTTTTTCATCCACAATTACCCAAGTAAGGCATATTTACTTGCAGA